TTGTTTGCCATTCTAAGTTGTATAACAAAAATATTTAAATGTACTTATATAATAATTATAGATGTAAATTACATAGACTTACCACCAAATTGGTTTAAATTTATAATATAAAATGATTTTCACAAACGACTACAAGTATGATTAAGGCATGTTTTAAAAATAATATATTGAGATTTTAAAAATATTCTGCCACGAAATGCAGGAACAATTTACCTCCTCCTGTTGTCAGTCTCATTTCAGTTTCGTTTTTTAAATATCATTGAAAACATATTTGATTCAAGTACAAAAACTGCAAACTTGGCGGATAAATTATAACTGATGCATTATAATTTGAATAATGCATCAGTTATAACATGGGGGGTATCATGGGCGAAACAGTATACTCTGTTATGTCCATGGTACTGTTTATGTTTATAGGCGACGGTTACCACTTTCCATCAGATGGACTGTCAGCTTGTTTGCCATTCTAAGTTGTATAAAAAAAAAATACACAATTATTTACGTAATATAATATTTACATAATTATTTTACTTATCTTTTTTATCTTGTATCGTATGTTATACGATAAATAATGTATTATTATATGTATTATATTATTTTATCATCTATAAGGTCCAGTTAATAGTGTATTATAATTTCTCGAGAGCTACCTATCGAGTGGTGGCCCCACTGAAAATCAGCGCTGCAGCACTCCACAACGCTTCAGCTTAAGCTAAGTGGGGAACATTTTAGCTGCCATTAGAGAATTATTATTTTAATGTGTAAAGTTGCTGAATAAATTATTTTATTATTATTAGTGTTATTGATTTCATATTGTATTGTAAAAGCACTTGACCTTAGGTATATGTGTATATATTCCATACGTAATGCCTTCTGAAAAAAGTGATATAAAACGGAATACCTATTAAAAAACCTCGTAACTTAAGAAAATAAGGAAAATATTTTGATTACATGAAAAATGTAAATAATACCATTTTCAGCGACTCATAATTAGATGGAAAATATTTATATTCTATATTATTCATTTGAATATGAGGAAAATTTTAATGTTATTCTAAACATCCGAGTATGCGGTTCTCATATATTATAGAAAACATAGAAATTACAAATTTGATAATCCACTTCCACAGTAAGGTATCGTTTTCAAGTCCGAGTGAGTGTGTACAGGCTCCGCGCTCGTCGCTCGACGCACGGCTGTGGCGGACCGGGCGCGAGCTGGATGCGCCCGCACTAAATTTAAATATTTTAATCCTTAATTTAAATTTTTGACATTTTTATTTTATGTTGGTATTCGTGTAGTTTCATTTTTAATGTTATTTGTCATATTCAGGAGACGGTGCAGCCCTCGACTGGGCCTTGAAGCCTCATTTGTTGGGGCCGGTGGACTATAGCGTTAAAATATTGTCAGTGAGATATTCCATATTAAATACTTCGTTATTTATTATGTGTAATAAATATTACAGATAATACAATAGATTCTTCGTAAGTATTTACCTATGGTATAAATTCATACTAAGGTCATAATAATTATATATCTACATTTATACTTACGCTATTTATGATAAATATTTTTTCTTAGAATACTATAAACCCAAATAAACTGCATTGTAGTTGTTTTATTTGATACTAAAGTACATATATACACGAATATATATATATATATATATATATATATATATATATATATATATATATATATATATATATATATGTATATATATGAATATAGGTATATGCACACCCCCATAGATATAGTATATATGAAAATCATTTATTTTTTATCTACTATCATAGTTAATAATAAGCATTGAATTATTCATTAACTCATAACTTGTTGTGAAACCCTGGTGAAAACATTGCTTATCTCAATCTAAGTCAATTCATAGTCATGTGCAGCGGGGTGAAGAGGAATTGATAATTACTTTCAGATTTCTATGTAATAAGAATTAATTAAAAACTCTATTACGGGAACGATGAAAATACCGCCAAGAACAGTCAAATTGCATGCTCTTTATCTTGAACATGTCATGAGGAGGAATGAGATGTTTTTAATAATTTATGATTTTGCGCCTTCAAAAAGTAAATCTTATCGACTGTATATAGTATTATCGTAATCAATATAGAATCAGACCTGACATGGTATCGCGTAACATAACTAGTGGAAGACTTTGTACAGAATTATATTAGGTATGTTCCACATAAGGAGGGAGACTTTGTACAAAATTCGATTGCTTGGGTACCTCTGTCCCATTCGTGTTTCTACCATGAAGCCGTTGTGTTTGCATGGCTGCGTTTCGGTTTGAAGGGTGGGATATGGCGTGAATTTACAGGGTACAGAGGAATAACATCTGAGTCCTCAGGAATGGCAACGCATGAGGGGTATCAAGGGTATAACAGTATACTCTATTATGTCTATGGTACTGCTCATGTCTATAGGCGACGGTTACTACTTTCCATCAGGTGGGCCGTCAGCTTGTTTGCCATTCTAAGTTGTATAAAAAAAAACATAAAAAAACAACTTCAGTTGTGGTAATACTAGTAATTTTGATTTGAAAACTAAATTACTGAACCGATTTTGATAAAATTTCTATGGGACTAATCTGTAAATATATTCATTTGGATAAAAAAAGAATTTTTCAAATCTGTTTACAACTGATGGCAATAATATAACCGAACTAAGAACCTCATTCTTCTTGAAGTCGGTTGAAAAAACGCTGTTTTGGGTAGTTGTGTTTCACTTGTGTCAAAACTGTGAACCAGCTGCCTGTGTTTCAGTTTGAAGAGTGGGGTATGGCAGTAAAACTGTAGGCTAATGTCACACCATAGTACTCAGCAATGGTAACGCATGTGGGGTAACATCTATTATTGTAGGATGGCCATGGTGTTGCTCATATATATAGGTGACGGTTTACATTTTCCATCAGTTGGGCTGTTAAGCATGATTATCATTCTAAGTTGCATAAAAAATACATAATAGAAGAACTGAGAACAACCTTTTGAGAGTCGTTTAAAAATTCCTTTACTTCGTTAACATACATCAATTCTTAGTAAGCAGGTACAAATACGTATTACGCACATAAATACAATTTTATAATCACCTCAAGATATAAAACAGCTTACCGACAACGCTAAAAAAACATTAATTAAATGTAATTTCAATAATTTTACCTCTCTCAACAGCATGCGTTTCCGGAATGGAAACAAATCCAATTAAATTATAAATAAATGAGGTACCTAAGTTTATAACAAATGTTGCATGTTCGAGGCTCTGCCGAGTTGCGGGAGGGGGGGGGGGGGCGAGATCCGTGAGGCCTGTAGATCATTATAAATGTATTGTAGATCATTAGTCATCGGCGCGGCCCTGCTTAGACATTTTGTTGTTTCGCTTTTTAATATTTTATTCCCATGTCGAATTTGTGTCATGTAAATGACCTTTTTTCTATAGCTTTAACACAAGCATAACAAGTATTTCAATGTAGGACCATAGTTTATATAACTAAGGAGCAGGGGGGCGGTTAAAAGTAATGATGGGGTTGCCAGTTTTCATTGCTAGCAATATACCCCGTCCAATCGATATCCATTCGGTACTTCCTGGAAATCAATGTGGTAAATTTAATTGCTGATGAATTAATCGCTATGGGCTGACTGATCTGCCTTTATTCTCAGTTATCAACCATCACTGGTGCTTTGCCAGTAGATAGCGTAGGCGGGTTTTTTTTTTGGCGGGTGAAAATGGAATGGTAACCCCGCCTGCGCTAACGGTGTACGCTGGCGGGGCACCAGTGAAGGGTGATAGATGAGAATGAAAACAGACCAGTTAGCCCATCATGATCAATTCATTAGGAATTAACCATGATAGTTTCCAGGGGGAACCACGAGGAGGTTGATCTGGTTGGGTATATTATAAGCAATAGGATTCTCAGTCTCCATTACTAAAAATCCCTTTCCCCCCGCGTAGGCGGGGTTACTATTTCATTTTTATCTCATTATCCAGTCCAAAGAATTATATCTGAGTACTGTAGATATTTTATTTTTATCCGTCTTGATATTTTACCCATCTGCGCTATCGGTATACACTGGTGAGGCCTTAGTGAAAGATGATAGGTGAATATGAAAGCAGGTCAGTAGGTCCCTCGTGACGAATTTAACAATAATTCATCCCGATCCCGATCCCGGAACCGCGTGGAGGTCGACCTGTTATATTGCCTACATTGCTAGCAATTAGGCTGTTAGACCAATTACTAACAATCCTCTTCTCCTCCGAATATGTTATGTTCAACGACTTGAATAAAAAGTAATATATGTATTTCGTCCCATGTAATATGTATATTAAACTAACTCCCTTTCACATTTATAATACTAGCATAAATAAATATATAAAGCATCCTATATTTTAATTTTAGTAGTATTTATTTATATTTGTTTTTTTTTTAATGGATAATGACTGAACGGTGCTCCTTCGCTCGTGTACGCTACTAAAATATTGCGGCACTAGTGAAAAGAAAAACAATGTGGATGAAGTTCAAATCTGCCGGCCCATCGTGGTGAATTCAAAACTACGATTTTTATGAGTGAAATGGCTTATAGAAATTGTCGTATGGGAATTTAATTAGTTACCTATATTATAATATCGTCGGTTTAATTGTTTAATTAAAATGTTTTAGCATAACAAAATTTTTATTAAATGCTTAAATGTAAAATAATTCTGTCTACCAATCTTCTAAGTACATGGCGTTAAGATAAATAAATAAATTTAACATATAAGTATTATAAATTATTTTAATGTAAAACAATAATTAAAAAAAAAACACCGGTGTTAGTTTTGTTACATGGATTAAGGTGGTATGTGTTATATTACAAAAATCTTCAAAATAAATACGCAATAGGGTCATTGCTTGATAACGGGTTGTGATGACATAAGTGTAGAATAATATCATAAATAACATGAAGTATGGATAGTATAAAAGAATGTGTACATTAATTTCGAGCGACCCTGACATGACGAGGTGGCCGAGTGGTTAAGGCGTGAGACTGCTAATCTCATGTGCTATGCACGCGAGGGTTCGAATCCCTTCCTCGTCGATACTTTTTGTATTCTTTTTTAACTTTTACAAACTTGTGATACATATTTTATTTTATCTACTTTTTATTATTACTTATTTAAACATTTGTTTATTTTCTTTAGTGGTTGCAATATTTTTGCAAAAAATTGAGATGTGAGTATTATTAATGTAATAAACATAAATAATAACATATGATGTCAAATAAAAAAAGAATAATTGTAATATTTGTAGTCGTACATACTTATATACTATACTTATATAGTATACTATATAATAATAATTTATTCTCTTTGAGCGTTGTGTCAAAAGCAGGCTCGCTAATATTTTATTGTAAGTATTGATTTATTTGAAATATTTTTTTATTAGATATATGAAATATTACATAAATTTCATAAATATAAAAAGTAAAGAAAAAAAAAACAAGGGCAAAGAAAATAAATTAACCCCAGTAGAGCTGATAATACTACCCATCGTAGTCAGCGACACATATTAAATCATTTTCTTCGAATGTTTTCGTTCAAACTTAACCAGTGTTTACTTATGCATAAAATCCAATTGATCTATCAATTTGAATTTGAACGTTAACGCGTAAATTGTAAGTTACATTTTGATTTAACTGTTAAGTTTTGGTAGAGTTACCCTCGAACTTAGGGTCGGAGTAATGAAATACGTAAATGATATTCAAAAGGCATGAAGGAAACAGATTTGGCCTTGCTGGTTATGACTGCTAACGGATTTCGTAGTAAGTACCTAGTCTTAATAGAATGGGTTATCTATTAATGTATTTTTACAACATTGTACATTCTGCACATTTCGACTTACATTGTATAATGATAGATAAGTACCATGTTATTATATTTTTTAATTAAAAATATTAAATGAATTTCATAGAAAAGAATATCAAGTATGTATAGTTATTTTTTTTTATTATTTTGGTACAAATAGTCATTAAAAAAATATACATATATAGTGACATTATATTTTATTTTATGTAAAAATAGACAATGAGAATCGAAATATATAATTAATAAACTTTTACTTGTGTGCAGTAGGTAGGTCTTTCTTCATCTAAGATACAATTTTTCTCTTTTTTTTTAATATATTGGCGATCCGTGGTAGCCTTGCACGGTTGTTGCGTTAAGTATGAATTAGATGGGTATAGTAAGCTAAAAGAAAGACATATGCCATCGCGAACTTTTTGTAGACCCATACCTAAAAGAGAAACAATTAATTCCACCATACATTCTTTTGTTATATCTCAAACGGATAAGGCAGAGTTTTCGATGAAAGCTCGCAGTTGATTTGATTTCTTTCGACATCTTAAGCAATTATATTTCAAAAAATTAACACACAACAATATTAAAGTATATGTATAAACCTTCGTCTTAAATTATTTTATCTATTAATGAAAAACTGCATCAAAATCCATTTCGTTGTTTAAAAGATCTAAGCGTACAGATGTCGGGAAGATTTTTGCTTTTTTATATTAGGTAAAGATCTCTGAGTCCCTATTGTGAGTCAAGTTGTACGTATTTGTGCCATTATCATGTTAGCGTTTACGTCGATTATTTGTATTGAAATCTTAGCTGCGCCTCTAGTAATAAGCCTGCATTAGATTTCCATACTAATTTATCAAACGTAAACAGAGTTGTAATCACTAGCCATAACTCGCACTAGCTGTTAGTGTCAGTAATACGTATATCTATTATATTTAAGAAGGAAATTTAGACACATAAAGTTACATTTATAACACACGATAAGTGTTTGGCTTGCTACGAAAGAATATGGATAATGTGGTCACCAGTAGACTGAACACAAAAGGCATAAATTTGCTAACGAATTTCCAGCGAGTAAAGACGCTGCCGTGTGTCTTCGACATTATATTTTATTAGTTTCAATTTGGGAAATGGTAAAATAGATAATTTATTATATAGCAAATAGGCGTTCAGTGTAGGATGCAGTTTTATTGTATTACAGGTACTTGTACATTACAGGATCTGTTGTTGAAAAGTTAATTGATTCTTATGGGCTGATGGTGTGTTATCTGCAAATAATTAGATGTGGCGTGGCATCCTGAACACACGACGCGCCACCGTCTCGCCACCGACGCGGCGGCCTCGCCACCGTCTCGCCACGTGCCGTTCTTGACGTGTTATTATTTAAGTTATTTATGAATATTGTTTCGGCGGCCGCCATATAGATCGTCGCCACGCGTCCTACCAACCCCCGGTGTATGTCGACATGCACTTATGGACACTCATATCTGCTCGCATGAGTGGTATACACTGTTAAATAGATGATGAGGTCTTAGTTTAAAAAGGTCGTCGCAGTATGTAAACATAAAAGATAGAAATTAAAGCTAGATTCTTTAAGAGTAAAGTTATTCATAGGTCATCTACCTATGAATAATATGAGTTGTAAAGATTTTTTTCTATATTTTTTATATATTATTAGCAAATCTAGAAACAACGAGAACTGAGCAAATAGATAGACTATATCTATGATAAACACTTTATTTAAGCCATTTATGACACACGTAAATTAACAAATCAGTTTATACAAACAGATCTGAGAAAAAAATGTAAATATTTTTTTAAATATAAAACAAAAGATGAAATATGGAAATATGTTTTCACCAAGTATGTCACAGTGACCCAAATACAGAAATTCAGTGATCCGATCAACCCATTAGTACCATGGACATGACAAGGTATACCGGGCCGCCCATGATAACCCCATCCCCATGCGTTAGTATTCCTGAGAACCAAGATGATACGGTTCTGTATCCTGTACTCACTACTAATAATTTCTTTCGCTTTCTTCTAATACTACACTATAGATACTATTCCTCCTCTCTCTTCCTCCTCCTATTTAAAACAAGCAAATCTATTAATATGTTTACATGAAAGTTTGTAAAATTAGTTGATGTTTGGGTTCAATTACATTTGAACAGTTGAATGTAATTTTGAATGAAATGTATACGTGTTTTTAAATACTCATTTAGATATAAATTTTTTAACAAAACCAATAAAATAAACATATTTATACTGCAATTCGGACATTATTTTCTTCGTTACGCGAAACGGCAATATCGTCAATAAATTATGAAATATAGCAGAGTTGTTAAGTAAAGCCATAGCCCCCGATTGGTATCGGAAGCAAGGCGGGATGACGAGAGACGGAGGAGTGACTTCGAGTTCCGGCCTGGGCACTAACTCATCATCAGGGCCCAGCAGGAGGGCCGCCATGCGCCAGCCCGACCCACTCTCCCTCACATGAACACAAAGAAAAATAAAGATTTGTGTGAATTATACCCTCTGTTCGCAAAAGGGAAACGACGGCGTCGCAAGATACAAAAAAGTTCACTGCTAGGTATGTCTCAAAGTGTGGAGTTTCTGTGTAACTAAACTATAAAGAAGCACATGATTTACAAAAGATAGGCTTTTCCTAAACAATCTACGCTTACCAATAATAAATATTAAAACATTGAAAGAAATATTCAAAATATATCTATCCACTATATCTTTTTTTCAATTAGATAATAATTATAAAGTTATAGAAAGTGGATACTTTATTTGGTATTTATAAATAAATAATAATAAAAGGAATAATATGTTTATATTAGAGACAAAGAAAACAATATATGCAATCAAACCGATTAGAACAATAAATAGAACAGCAGCAATGGATTATTTATATTAATATTTTATGTAGTTTAGTAGGTATATTAATGGACGTCGAAATGTATGATAGATAACAACGTATTCAGTATAATGGTTAACTACCGTTCGAAGAGCCCAAATACACATTACAATTTTTGGCATATTTAAATTTCTCAATCTTTCTGATAGTAATTACTGCTAACCTAATCAAACCAAAGTCTAAAACAGGAAAGTGGGTAGGCTCGCCTCTTGCCTGCTGCCTTTGATATAAAATAATATGTTTGACGAAAATATGGACATGTCGTAAGTCGTGTTATTATTTTTGCTTGAACTAATAAGTATTAACATACCTAATTGCACCTAGTATTTCTCATATTACCATTACTATAATAGTCAGCGATGATAGCTCTAATTGACCTATAGTTGATGTTATAGCATATTTTCTATGTCAATGAATGAATTGTAATATTATAATGAGTTTTAATATTTGCACCCTACATTGTGGCAGACTAAGATTGGACTATAATTTTCTTCTGATGTAACACCTATAAAAATGTACCTTATTCTAACAAACAAATGAATTCTAATTATAATTCTATTGCGTGAAAAAATAGAACGAAAAACAATTACATGATTAGACTTAAAAACTTTTAAGTGAACAAGCCACTGTATGTAAATTGAATGTGTTTTTTAAGTAAATGACTCTATCGGGACAAGAGAGCGATCGCGTATCGCATGACGCGATAGGCGGCCGTCAAAACACTTGTTCCTGATACGAAGACAATGCTTTCCCGCCGCTTCCCACAGCGTCCCACCGGGTTTCATCGGTATCGCTTCCGGACTCCTCTCATTTGAATTCACGACACGTATTACGGATACTTTTGTTTTCCAATTGAAAAATAAAACATCGATAGTACCTACTTGTTGATAACACTGTGGTTATTTGAATTATTTTTAAAGAAAAAGGTAACAGAATGAGAACTTAACGTATTTTTATTTGTTCTTCTATTATGATTATCTACTACTATTACGCCATTAGTTTTATGATTAATAATATGTATATAATAATAATAATAATATATACGAGTACATGGTTATTGTAGAGAAATAATGCTATCTTTCAATATAGCATGATGTTTCAGGTCGAAGGTGAAGCAGTTGTGTTTGTATGGCTGTGTTTCGGTTTGAAGGGTGGGATATGGCAGTGAATTTACAGGGTACAGAGGAATAACACATGAGTCCTCAGGAATGGCAATGCATGGGAGGTATCAAGGGCGAAACAGTCTATTATGTCCATGGTACTGTGCATGTCCATAGGCGACGGTCACCACTTTCCATCAGGTATGTCGTCAGCTTG